TTGCTGAAACCTATATCAGTGTGCTATTGGGTCTCTGCCAGCCACCCATCTCAAGACCACTTACCGCAGACATCTCAGCAAACGCCCTGTTATGTGAAGACACACGTGCCCTCTAATCTAACCGAAACCACGCGAATGTGGATAATACCTACACACACACACACACACAATATATATATATATATATATAGTGACATTTATACGCTCCTGATCCGTTCCTCGTGTGTTCTACCTCCTTCTTCCTTATTTAGAGAGCAACCAATCTCACGACCCAATTCCCCAAGGCGTCTGAGCAGGCCCTTGACCTGCTGAAGCAAATGCTTGCGTTCAATCCTCGCGACCGCATCAGTGTGGAAGATGCTCTAGCACATCCTTTCCTAGAGAGGTTCGTATTCTGTATTCTGTGTTGTGGTTGTGGTTGTGGTTGTTTTATACGTATTTATGTGTGTATGTATGTGCGTGGTTTTGTGTTTGTGGTTGTGGTTGTTATGTACCGTATTTTTATGTCTATCTATGTACGTGGTAGTACACTGCGTTAAGATCTGATTAAATTGCTTGCATTTGAATGTAGCATGTGACAACCCACTTGTCATACGTATACGTTTTTTAGTAACGTTGTAAGATTCGTTGCATTCACAACATACACTCACATGTGCCTTCGTACTTGCACATACATGCCCATGCGTACATATACACCCATATATATGTATGTCTATATATATATGTATATATATATATATATATATAAGCGTATGTATTCATACCACGCCCTTCTCAGTAGTTGTCTCTGTCTTATCTCTGCAGTCTGCACGACCCGCGAGACGAGCCAGTATCGAGCAAACCATTCGACTTCGAATGGGAAACCGCCACTCCCCTTACACTTGACTTTATTAAGGTACGTACTGTTATTTTACTAAGAACTGTTATTTCGTAGCTGGGTATCATTGTGGTAATACCAAGTATAAATACGTTGTTTGTTTGCTGAGTAGTATTAGGACGACACTAAGTTTAATACGTTATTTGTTTACTTGAGTAGTAGTAATACGTTGTCAAGTGTTAATACGTTATTTGTTCACTTTAGTAGTAGTAATACGTTATCAAGTGTTAATACGTTAATTGTTTACTTGAGTAGTAGTATTACGATATCAAGTGTTAGTACGCTATTTGTTCACTTGAGTAGTAGTAATACGTTATCATGTGTGAATATGTTATTTGTTCACTTGAGTAGTAGTAATACGCTATCAAGTGTTAATACGTTATTGTTCTCACTCGCTAGTCAATCAAGAGTTTTAGTCAGTTTCTTGTCTGTTGCTTATACAGCGTACTATCAATACGTTTACTTTGCATTTATATACAGAGAAGGTGCGTGCTTCACACTCCTAAGTCTTAAGCTTACCTTGTACTACATACACATAGTACTTTCATCCTCACTTGCACTGGCCCTTGTTATTGGCTGTGTTGTGCACAGGCTCTGGTGTTCAAAGAGATTATCGACTGCCATCCAGAAGCATACAACGACATCCCAAATCCCTTGGCCGACAAAAGCCACCCACAGTACGAGGACATCAGAAAGGTGGGTGAGTGCAGGCTATGGGTGGGCTAGCAACTGTAGTGCAGGCAATTGGTAGGCTGGATATAGTTGGGAATAGTTAGGAATAGCTTGGAAATACTCGAAAAATTAAGTTGAGTGTTGTAATAAATCTCATAAAAACGGTGTCGTGGTATGTCTATTGTATATCTCTGTGTCTGTGTCTGTTTCTTTTGTGAGTGAGTGTCTGTGTCTGTATCTGTGTTTATATATGGATTTCTGTGTCTGTGCCTGTGTCTGTGTTTGTAGATGAATGTCTGTGTCTGTGTCTGTGTCTGTGTCTGTGTCTGTGTCTGTTTCTTGTGTGAGTTAGACATCTGATCTTAAGCTTTAATATCTCTGTTACTTCGTCTTAAAAGCAACGTCTCTCATAACTCGTATCTCCAATACGCCACTCAGACACTCTCGGCCACTGGCAAGCAGTTGTCTGTGTTCGATGAGGTGGAGCAGGCGATGAACCCCTCACCAGTCAACGACAGGGATCAATTGGACAACTCAAGCAGCACCAGCAGTCTCAGTTCAGGCAGAGGTGCGTAGTGCATGCATGGTGGGGCCGATGGGTGCGTATGTGTTTATGAGTAGGTATGTGTATGTGTGAGGGATGTATACATCCAGATACCTACACATGTGTATAGAGATAAGTGTTTATTAGATTAGGATATATGATTAAATATACATTTACACGTGCGTGTATATATATTTGTAAGTATACACACACATATATATCTATATCTATATCTATATCTATATATATATATATATATATATATATATATATGTATGTATGTACATATATTATATGTATGTATATATACATA